CAGATTTTTTTTCTCCATTAAACGGCATTGTGTTTGAAGATCTTGCATTGAATTATAAATCACATCAGTGCATATGTTAAACACGTTACCCTAAGCCCACTGTCATGAGCTTCCACTGCCTCCACTGTCTGGCACAAAGCTTCAGTCAGTGTCAGGCAGCAGGTCTCAGTGTTTGCTGTAAGCTTTGCATTTCCCTACTTTTCTGGCTAACATCTGTCACAGCTGGTTTACTCCCAGGGGAACAGTGATGCCTGCCTGGGGGTGCAGACGTGGCTTGGAGGGCTTTCACGCCAATTGGCCATCTCTCCCGCCAGTAGGTATTTTTGTTTCACGATTCAGCATCGTGGGGGCCACCTAGCTAAACAATGTGCTGCCAAGGCTCTTACCTGCATTTCTTCCTGCTCTGTGACCACTCCTAACAGTTATGAGACACCTGTAATGACAACAGACCTGAAACAGACATTGTATTTTATGTTGTTCATGTAAAACTGTTCCCTGTAGATCTGAAAAGTTTTTAAATGAACCGACTGTCGGGAAGATCAGCTTTTACTATTACAACGAATTTTATCCCTTTTCACGATGGCCACAATCTTTTAAAAATTGTACTTCACCTCCCCCCATCATGTTTTAGTGTTTGATCTTCTCCTAATCAAAATTCCAATTTTGTTTTAAATGTTTTGGCTTTTTGCTTCATGCTGATATTGAAATATTTTTACCTGAACACCCTTCACAAATCTTAAGCTCAACAACAACCTGGAAAACTGGGAAAGAAAACAAAAGCTTCCAAAATGCTGAAATGAAGGTTTACAACAGGAAAACCAATCTAATAAAAAGTCACAAACTGGAGCATCCACTGAACTGGATATGTTGGATGTAGAGTTCCTTACATTCATTTCTTTGCTTGTCAAAAACGGAGGTGCTGTCAGTTTTACAGTTATTATCGTATTGAATCCAAAAGCCTCAGAGAAAAAGAAAAAAAAAAATGAAGAAAAGCACAGAGTATGAAAAAGATAGATTTATTTAATGACAAATTAAAACAGAAGAAGTGGAGGACTTCAGGGAGAGCAGCAACATTACTGAGACTCCACATGAGGAGAAATGGAGAGATGATTGGCTTGAACTCCCTCAATCCTTGAACAAAACAAACAAAACAAAAGGGCTCAAGGGGAAAGACTTACCACACAAATGAGAGGACAGCGGGACAAATAAATGAAGAGGAAATAAAATAAAGCAACCCAACTCTGGAAGAAAAGAAACCTTCAGAAGAACGACAACTTGTTTTTTTTTTTCCTTTAAACTACAAACACTGAAGTTTAGCCACAACTTTTACAATTGCCTTTTAATGTTTGTTTTTAAAATTCAATACAAAAACCGATAATTGTCATAATCTCCATGTAATAATAACAATAGCAACATTGTAACGGTAGAAACTGTCCCTCATTCCTTGTTGGGTGATCAGTCAATCGGTGAGCAGACACGGGCAGACAGAGAAACGAGGCCGAGCACAAACAAAAGAGACGTGAGAGGTTTTCAGCAAAGACAGTGCACACGCGCGCACACACAAAAATAAAATAAAAAATAAAACACTAATAGTTCCAAAGAAATAGACTTGAGAAATAATAATTCTTCCAACTGAAATGCAGTGTTTAGGTTTTTTCCTCCTTGTTCTAAAAACAAAAAAACAAAAAGGACCCCTTTGTTCCTCGGTCAATTTATTACACCTGCACACAGAGCCTGTAATGCAAAGAGCAATGTGCGTTTGGCATGTCAGAAAGCCGTTGATGTGTCCACTTTGAAAATAAAACTTCAAAATTAGAAAGAAAAAAAGTAAAACTCCAGGACTGACGTAGCTGAGGGCCTTCTTACATCCAACCAGTATGACAGCAAAGTTTAATAATTGATGATGACAGTCAACAATTTAATAACAAGCATCCGATGCGCAATCTTTAGCTTTGGGGGGAGGAACCGGTGTGGAGCAGAAGGAAGCAAAACGAGCTCGCGCAGTTGTAGTAATCCCGGGACCCTTAACACAGATCCAAGCTTCTTTTCCTGGACGTTACTCGGGGATTGGGGTGCTACAGCCGTTCATGTCTGTGAGTGATGATCCCCAGTCACAGGTGAAGATACATTTTAGATAAAGATTTTTAGGGACTCAGGGTTCCAGTTTGAAATCGTCAATAGCAGCCACAGCCATAGCCCTGCGAGGGTGGGGAGCGTGGGAACCGTTCCAGTCCGAGTGAGGGAAAGTGTGGGGGGACTTGAGGGGTACTGAGGTGGACTACAAACAGGAAGTGCTAGCTGTCCTGCAAGCACTCCAGCACTGACCAGGAGTCCATTTTGAACTATAGCTTGATCCTTCAAGTCAGGGACCGGAGCCCCTTCCACGTTCCGCTCGGGAAGAGCCGTAGTGTCTGAAGTGTGTGTAAGAGTGAGAGAGCGATGAGAACGAGCGGTGAGAAATCACTCCAAGACGGGGGACACGTGGCCAGGAAAGGAGTTTGACGGTTTGTGTCCGCGTTTATGACCAACAGAGGGCGAGGCCCTGCGTGGGTCTCACGTAATGTGTTTCCAAGTCTATAGCCGTCACTACACAGTTATTTTGTTTCATTTCCTCCACTCATCCATCCAAACATTCAGCCATCCATTCCCCCCCCCCAGGCCTCCATGGCTGCCTAATTAGACAGTCCAAATTCATGTCTGAAGGAGTGAGGCAGAGAGGGGCGGGGCACTGCGAGGTCTCCCCTCTAATAAAAAAAGAAAACAAAGAAAAAAATGCCCCCTAACAATATGTAACTTGTTGTTTTTTTAAATCCTCTTCAAAGTTTTTAGCACATGGAGATGGTGACGTTGATTCCCAGGTTGCCGTTTTCAGCAAACAGCTGTGCGATGGATGTGTCGAACACCAGGCAGTCGCTGTTCATGATAGCTGTGGCGATGCCCTCGTGGATGGAGCGTGGCGTGGCCTCCCAGGTCAGACGACGCCGGTGCCCGTTGAGCTCCAGTCGGTAGGCGAAGTTCTCGGCCTGCTTGCGAGTCCCAATGAGCTGCACGATGGCAAAGAACTGCTGGTGTCCGTCGTACTTCTCCTGCTTCTCCAGCACGAGCATGAAGTGGAAGCCGAAGCACGACTGCATCATTACCCAGTCCACCGCACCGGGCAGGTTGATATCTGTGGCCAGGAACACGATGTCCTCCCCCTGGACGGACACACAAACAGGGTTAATCATCTTTAGTCGTCAGCCTGAAGTTAACACCCGACGCTGCTCACATAAAGATCTTTTACATCATCATGATCTCAAAATGAATACATGTTATAAAACAAGCCGCAAAAGGAACAAGCTGTTTGTTGTTCTCATGTTAAACGCAGTTTTCTGGAATATTCTGGCAATTATTTGACAAAGCAGTATGCTCATGATACCAACCACACCGTTATGAGACCTCGACCACTGGAAAATTCAAAGGTCTGCCAGACCGCGACTTTCGGACTCGGGAGACTGAGAAACACATTAAAGTTGTCTTTTGTGATTTGCACTGCACTTGTCATCCGGCTGTCTTTTTGCAGGCTGACTTTTAGCACAACAGTAAAGAACAAGCAGAGACAAGTCTCCATCAGTTGTTTGAGCACGTGCGACCCCCACCTTTAGCACAATGGACACGTCGACTCATTGCTAACATCAAACATCTTAAATTCTCAAGACCAAGTAAGATATGAGCCACTGAGTAGCCATTAGTGTTGTCTTGCAGTCCAACCTTACGGCTTTAAAAACAAATTTCTAAGACAATCCCACAAATTAAAAGGCTAAACCACTTTCAACAAAAAAAAGAGCAGTACTGTAGCACTGCTGGCTCCAGTAGCATCTTTAATACGTCAGTGTTGCCAGATAAGATAACCGCCTTCATGGATGTTCTCGTTGTAGGGGCAAAGATCCTCCATGGTTTCAGAACAGATCATACAGCTATATGTACAAGCCGCTCAGGCTTTGCATGACATCAGTGAGAGAAGATTTCCTTATGTGGTGATCTCAGGCACACCGCTTCAGCTGTGAGCACAAAAGCTCACCTGTTGCCAGAGAAGCTCCGCCCACCTAGCGGTGGTGTAAACTATTGAAGTGTTCCTTCAATTTAAAAGTAATCATGATATTAAAATGAACATATTCTGCAGGCTATAACAACTCATTTGTAAATTAACACACATTTACACAGCATGTTGTTTCCTTTGTTGTCCAGCAGAGGGCACACTCAAAATTCCCCATCAGCTTAGTGGGATGGAGTATGAAATGTTTTCCATGTTTCCACTTCATTTGAACAAACTTTACGCTGTTTATTCAGACTTATTTCTAGTTTATTTCTAAGTCACAAACTTAATTGCAAACCCTGCACGATCCATGTTTAAATAGCATCAATTCAGATAGTCTTCAACGTGTCTCATCCTCACTTAGTAAAAGTGGCACACACCTTTAGGAGCATGCTTTGTGGAAGAAACTGAGGAGCTGAGTAACTTCTAACCTGCAGTGTGGTGATGGACTTGTGCTGGTGCATCAGGTGAGGCATGACTGCATCCAATGATCCCTGCCACTTGCAAGAGGCGCCGGGGCAGGGGCAGGAATACGGCCGAAACTCGCAAAGCTCTTCGTGCTCGGTCTTGTCGGTATGAGGCAAGGTGACTTCGCAGCCTGATGAGGCATACTTGCAGGGGAAAAGGACAGAGTTGGCCACCTTCTCCATGGCCAGGTTCCTGATGGAACCCAGGGGACCTCGGCAGGTGGGGCAACAAGTGAGCTTAGGCCGGCAGTTGGAGCACACCTGGGGAAGAAGAAAAATAAAATAAATAAAAAGTATGTTCATGACAAGTTTACTAAAATGTTAATCTTCACAATTATGCTTCTGCAAGAAATTTTACTAGCAACAACAACCAGTTCAGGTTCAGTTACAGGCTGGACTGTACACACCAGGTGTCCGGACTGGCACTGGAGGATTGGGGGGAGGACATAGTCGAAGCAGACAGGACACTCAAACAGGCTCGCCAGGTCACTGTTGGAGGCTGTGGTGCCTGAAAGGGTGGGCACACGCTGAGAGGGAGGGCACTTAGATGTTCCTGTGGGCAGCGCGGTGGCAGTCTGGCGACTCATTTCTGACAAGAGAGGAGGATGGTTATGATGAAGCCATAAGCAGATCATATTTTACCATACCATTACCAAGCCTTAGTTAAAAGAAGTATGACTAATTGTCTAGCCCTCCCTTTGTTGGCAGCTCTTCCTCTACATCGGAGTCAAAACAGGTCACTGAGAAGGTGGAAGAAACAGACAAGACAACGGACATGAAGGACAAACATCACGATGTTGATGCTGGTTGCAGAGCATGCAATTTGTTTAAAAACATGTAAATGAAAATATACCAAAATTATAGGGGTGCAACGATACTCGTATCGATGTTGAACCGTTCGATACAGTGCTTTCGGTTCGGTACGCATATGTATCGAACAATACAAAATTTTT